CCTGGATGTTAAACTCAATTGTTACACCTGGTAGAGCAGAACGCTGATCATTTTATTAAAGATGAAAGACTTTAGACAGTTTTTCAACTCTCAGTAATGCCATAGTGATCGTTTGATATATGGACCTGCAGCAGAGTTTAGACCCAGACACGGCTAGTGACGTCAGACTGAACAATCGGATTAGCAGGTGGGTGCAGCTGGGCTTGCTTAGGCCCCAGAATCACTACAGAACCCCACATTGTTTGAGGTCACCGTTTGTGAGCTCCATGAAATCCACTGCAGTCTGCAAACACTCTGGTCATGGGACAGAATCCAGCAATAATAAAGCCTCACACCATCCACGCTTTGGGAGTCTGATGGAACGGTTAATGGTGGCTGATCGTGAGGCTCAGAATCACCATGCATAACAAATGTGCAGCATTTTCACTCTGTGAATGATAAAAAAGACATGCCAATAATATGCATGATTACAGAGAGATGGTGAGTCACAGCCTCAAACATGATCACTAATTAGATGGTATCCATTCATTGATCCATCCGTCTAATCCAGGGCCGATAAATCGATATTTGATCATGAATAAATCTTTTTTTCACAGTTAATTTAGCTAAGAAATGCACTTTATAGTGCATTTGTTCACTTTTCTTTACACTCTCCAGAGCTCTTTGCCTTGTAATTTTAGCCACAGTGGTTTGGGCTGCTGTCAGTGAAATGTAAGTGACGTTTACAAGCTAATAGAAAACATTCTCATAAACTTAGAATGAATTCATGAAAAATACACAGGAACAGATTGTTGGAAGTTGCCATGTTGTCCTGCCATCTTGAACACAGAGCTCATAGGTGTTCACGGGCTCTGGAGGGAAATTTGAATTAATGTCTGCACCTTCAGAATCAAAATATGTAGAAAATACGCAAAATGTTTTCCTTTTACATTTTATATAAAACCGATTTACCAGTAGGCCGCCTTTGTTATTTTCTTCTCAATGCACTCTGGGTAGTGACGTCACATGGTTGCACCGCATCGGGTTCACAATTAGAATTAGCTTCTGTTCGACCTTTCCCGTTTGAACCAGAGCAAACCGAGGGAGAGGATAAAATAGTCAACCAGTACTTAGTTTAGATGAAGATGAAAACAATCCGTCACACGAGGACGCGGGAGTGAGGGAAAACTACTGGTGTCTATGCAGCTACTGAGAGTGTTTGTTGTAAAGAGCTCAATTTTATGGCAGCAGCTACCCATGGTAACGCATAAGCGCATGATAAAAACACTAATAGAATTCTATTTTTTATTATACAGTGAAATTATGAAAAATTACAATTCTCCATGCAAAACAGTGCACCAAAACTTTGAAGCCATATGTCTTAATCCAGATGTTCTTTGGGAAGCCCTTGTTAGTCTCCATGACCAGTATAGTGCTGGTCTACTAAGTCGTAACCAGGTTACTAATAGGCAAGTTAATTAACACCATTACTACACTGCAAAACAACAAAACAGGTTAGCTGAACGAAAGCGCCTATACTGACGACAACCAATACATGTCATCGTGCCAGAAAAAAAATGGCCACTCCCACGGCTCCAAAATAGTTTTAAACAACAAAGATTTAATGAATAACAAAAAAAAATTTAGTTATTCTTAAGTATGTTTTTATGTAGTGGAGATAATTTGTAACATATTTAGAGTAGCTTGTCATAATAGTCGGGGTTTCTTTTAAGCCTAATCTTAAAAGTAGAGATAGTGTCTGTCTCTTAAATCCAAACTGGAAGCTGGTTCCACAGAAGAGGGGCCTGAAAACTGAAGGCTCTGTCTCCCATTCTACTTTTAAATATTCTAGGAGCAATAAGTAGGCCTGCAGTACGAGAGAAAAGTGCTCTAATGGGGGTGATATAGTACTATAAGGTCATTAAGATAAGATGGGGCCTGATTATTCAAAACCTTGTATGTGAGAAACAGGATTTTGAATTCAATTCCGGGTTTAACAGGAAGCCATCAAGAGAAGCCAATACAGGAGAAATCTGCTCTCTCTTTCTAGTCCCTGTCAGTACTCTTGCTGCAGCATCTTGGATTAGCTGAAGGCTTTTCATGGAGTTTTTAGGACATCCTGATAATAAAAAATTACAGTAGTCCAGCCTGGAAGTAATAAATGCATGAACTAGTTTTTCCAGCTTCACTCTGAGACAGGATATTTCTAATTTTAGAGATGTTGCACAAATGGAAGAAAGCAGTCCTACATATTTGTTTAATATGTGCATTGAAGGACATGTCCTGGTCAAAAATCACTCCAAGATTCCTCACAGTGTTACTGGAGGCCAAGGTAATGCCATCCAGAGTAAGAATCTGGTTAGATACCATATTACTAAGATTTTCAGGGCCGAGTACAATAACCTCAGTTTGATCTGAATTTAGAAGCAGAAAATTAGAGGTCATCCAGGTCTTTATGTCTCTAAGACATTCCTGCAGTTTAATGATCTAACTTCATGCTAGGTTACGTTAGCTCAAGTGTCCTAAAAATCACACTTTCCCCTCTGATAAACAGCTTGATTATATACTCACATAGTACGAGATGTTATTTGCTAATTGTCCGAGTCCAGCAATGTTAGATCCACTTCAGAAAGAAAGAAAGAAAATAGAAAAGTGCAGGATATCCTGAACAAATCAAGTCAGAATTACTGCAATCTACTGACATCTAGTGGTGAGATTTTCCACACTGTACCTTTAATAATGTTCCGGTATGAGCTTTGCACGTTGATACCTACTCCTAGAGACAACAAACATTTGGTAAAGATCAAAGTTCAACATCTTAACTTCCTCCTCAAATCATCTGATCTCAGTAACCACAGTAACTTGTGACCTAACTAAACCTTACCTCATATAGCAAATGATTAAGTGCACACAGCTGAGATATTAAGCAGGGGGTGAACATGCTTCCTCTTTTTCCCCACTTAGAAGTTTGAACTGTTCCCACCATACGTACGACACATCATGCCCCCTCCTGTAGCTGGAGGCTGTTAGGTTTCCTTTGAATTTGGTGTTATAAACTGCAGCTATAAACACTCGGAAATGTGAATAGATAGTTTGTATGAACTGGCTTGTTTCAAGTTTACCCTGGCCATAAATATGAAAATGTTTTTGTGGGCACAATAATGTACAAACTCCAAGCACTGGGGGGGATAAACTGCATTTAAATAAGCAAACAGAGAGAATTACATCATGGAATAGTCACATCTGATAGCAACATGTGGTTAGAGGTGGATGCAGAGCTCTGGATAACTCCCAGTGGACATAAATCTGGGGTACTTTTCTAAGAACTGCCAGCAACGGAAATCACTTTGTTGCCGTTTCCACCATACAACTGCCCGACTGCACAGCTTGAATGTTTACCTGTGATGATCTGGGATGCAGTAAACTTAAAGCCAACAATGGTTCAGTAATGGGTTTTTTCTTTACATCAATAATAGGTCTTCCCTGGTTAATAGTAAGATAAATGAGTTCAGAGATGCTTTATCCTGGAGCCTAATGGACTGAAAAGGGACTTATTGTGAGTTTCTATTGTACACTAGGCTTGGAGGCAGCACTGAACCAACATGAATAAGTACAGCCAGTAAAGAGCAGTTGGTGATAAATGCAGCGTGACAGGCAGCCACGGAGGCCAAAAATCAACTACCTTTGGTGTCTGTGTCACTTGAGGATATATGGTTGCCCCCTCCGGGTTCTGTCACTGCTAATGTCTCACGTTCAGTTTCCACAAAGGCAAACGTGGAGGACGTGGCTTGGGCCAGGAGAGCCATTAAAAACGACCCGAAATCTTCCATCCGATACAAAGATGTCATTGAGGTTTGTCTCTGCACCTGCTGAAGTCATGGAAGAGGCGGCAGAAGGTCTTCCTCTGTGTCCGACTAAGCGACAACAGTCCACCACCTCCCAAAAACTAGCCGGACAAGTTTTTTTTCTCCTTTTTTTTTTCGAAAGGCAAACTGCTGCCATGCCAGATAAGTCAACAAATGAGGGCCAGTGAAACTTTGTTCAGCATGTGAGGGGCTTTTTGTGAGAGAGGCTGTGTGGAGAGAAGGGGGAAAGGGGGCTGGAGGGAGGCAGGATGGGGAGCTAGAATTAGGACCACATAAAGACGAGAGCCAGAAGGACGCGGTTGGGAGATGGTGGATTGGACCACCCTAAATGTAAGGCTTCCTGGCTGCTGATG